AAGTCATCAGTGGTCAGCCTCCTTTCACCCAGAGCAGAGAAGGACACAAACCAACAGGCAGCCTTTGCTGCCTCTCAGTAGCCTCTTTGTCACCCTCATGGACTCCATTACTTTGTTTTTCTCCAGAGGATTTCTTTGCAGAAAAATGATTCTGCCTCTACAAATACCTGAAAAACATTTAGTTTGCATCAATTTTGTGGCCTTGCATGTGTAGTTAGCTGTGTGGACATTAAGAGTGATGGGCAGCTCCATCTGTCCTTTGACTTAGGCAAAGTGGTACTAACCAGATTAGGCACAGTACTTTCTCATTGAAATCCATCTCCATCATTCTTAAAGATGTTCCACTGTTCCGTGAGAGAGTGAACATACACATAGAGTCTCAAACAAACATTCTCATTCCCCAAACACACACATAAAAACAACACAAACACACACCTTTCTTGAATCCAGAAAGGCAAGGAAGAAGACTAGAATGTTGCAGCACCTTTTCTATTCCAGGGAAGGTAGTGGGTCCTCCCTGCAGACTACAAGCCTCTTAGACCCAGCCATGCTCTTCTGTCCTGGCCTGAACTAATTTCCCTTCCCAGGGAAGTTCTTATCACCAGACTCACTGATCGTATAGAGAAGTAACAACCTCTGCACAACTGAGATGGACCACACAAAACCAAGTACTTGGAGAAAAGGGTGAGGCATGAAGACTCCCGATAGATACAAGTTGACCCATCATAGTCTCCTCACTAAACTTACCTGGACTCCTCCACAGAAGACATTGACAGCACCAGAGAATGAAAGTCACCCATTGTCATTACTCAACAACTTTTGACCAGATTACAGTGCACATTATATGAAAACAGCCCCAGGTCAGTCAGTAGAAGGCTACTTAGGTCATCCACAGCACTTTTCTAAATTGCAGCACTCCATCCAACTATCAGATGGAATCTGTCCTAAGACACAGACATATACATGATAGAGTGAGCATCAAAATGTCAGGTTCCATGCTGTGAAGCCAGTAGACAAACCAGACCTTTCCTGGGAATTTCCTTCTATGCAGTAAAAGAAAAAAAGTCTACTTTTTATTTTTAAAGTAGCTCCATTGTTTGATTTTTGTTATTACAAAAATGTATGAATTCCAAAGTAATAAAAATGTTTAAAAATTAAGAGAAACCAACTAATCCATTCTCTTTCTGACCAAATGAACCATTTAGCAACGAGATGAGACAGAAAAACACAGGATGCTGTACTGTGAGGAGACAGGAGATCCAAAGATCTGTGGCTATCCAGATTAGCCAGAACAGAAATTTTGAGATTCAGTGAGAGACCCGGGCTGAAGGGAATACGGGAGAAAGCAACAGAGGACACTCGATGTCATCATCAGACCTTCCAAAACACAGATGTATGCGCCCTCAGACAGGCACACTCATACACAGACACACACCCTCAATCATCAGTGATCAGAACGCAGTGAGGAGGACATCACACAGAATGAGGATGACATTACCAGT